TATTCTATTCTATTCTATTCTATTCTATTCTATTCTATTCTATTCTATTCTATTCTATTCTATTCTATTCTATTCTTTAACTCTTCTGTTCTAATTACAGCACCTCCTCTCTGTCCCTGTTCATAGTTCTCTCATCTCACCAGCCATACCTTTCTCGTAAGGGGTCTTTTGATGGCTTCCTTCACAGACCCACCCTTCACAACACTTGTTCTGCACTTTTACCCAGTGGTGAAAGGGATAGTCAGGGGGAGGGAGACGTGCCCCATCAGGGCAAAGGGGAATGCAGCCAATGGACCCATCCATGCAGATACATTGCAGCTGACAACTGGGCTGGAAACACTCTCCATTTAGATAGCTTTTTCCCATCAGGACACAGGAGGACCCTTCATAAGCTGGAGGAGGAACACAAAGGTGTGATGACCCAGGGCATGACACAAAGGCAACACCATCAGATAATCAGTAGGAGTCCCTTTATTAGCTCCAACTTTGCCCCCACTGTCCTGATTACCTTCTGGCTGGAGAAAAACTCTCCCAGGAACAGCCTTTGGCTGCAGAAAATCAAGTCCAAAACATGGTCAACAAAAACTGTAACTATGAGTCCAATCAAGGCAAAATGAGGTAATTAGTCCATCAGGGCAGGAGAAGGAATTCCAGACATGAAGGCATGGCAATAACTCAACAGGGTTGGGAGGATGCCAGGAACACAGATAACCAAAGTACACGCAAGATAAACTCAACGTTTGCTCCCAACAGCTGCTGCAGATAGCATTCAGTTCTTATAAACTTTCATTCCCAGGTGTGGCTAATGAAGGGAATCAGGGCCTTTTCCTCCCCTGTAAGCCACACAACCCATGTTGCTCTCTTCTCTGTTCCTCCCTGCATGCCCTAGGATGAAGAGGGGGTGGGGCCTGGGTCTTCCTCCGAATTTCCTCTCCCTTGCTCTGCCCAGCTGGACTTTGCCCTTCCCCAGTTTCTTCCACAGCCAACAGAGCAACACTCCCACTTCCTGTTAGCTTTTCCTCTTCCTCCTCAGATTCAGACTCTGACAGGGGCATGACACAAAAGTGTGTGTGTGAGCAGGACTTTAACACAGAATATGTACAGTCCACATAAACAACCATCACACTTACACTGGGTGGCATTAAACAGAATGGAAAGCTGTGCATATTTTATTATAAATAAAGCCGTATTTTCTACAAAAGCAGTCAAATGTCAGCAAATTCATCATTAATACCAGAACATTGGTCTTTGTTTTAGACAGTTTAATCATTTTTCCTTCCTTCCTTTTTTCTGCTTTCATTTTAATTACCATCCAATGAGTCTTCTAAGGTCTGTAACCTTTGGTATTTTCCAATCAAATGGCATAACATTTCCAGTGTATTAATCCCCGGCTTGCCAAATTCCACGAAGATGTCAAAGGGTAGCCATTTTTAGTATACTCTACAAAAGAATGGACACACAGACGGCTACTTATCTAAACAAAATAAAACTTACAATTTTATTAAAGTTCTCTCTTTTTGGCTACTCTTCATGATCTTTGAACGAACTAAAGTTCTTCTTCCATGCAAAATAATGTTCCCACTACAGAGTAATAAAAAAAAAAAAAAGGTGCATTTCCATTCATTTAAGTTCCCATTGATTGGGAATGAATGAATGCTTGCTTTGGTTTCACTCATTTGATTCCCCTCCCACCACTGAACAGAATGAAAAGAGACTTTAGTGGTCTTTAGTCCATGAAATCTTGGAATATAGAAATATGGCTTTGTAGAGCCAATGAAATGAGAAGTGTATTGAACAGTATTTCCCAACTGGGGTAATTTTGAGATACTGAACTCAACTCCCAGAATCCTCCAGGCTACATAGCCACTAAGAATTCTGAAAGTTGAAATTCATACAGATTAAGATCGCCCAGGCTTGGGAACACTGTTGTAGATCATTCATATCCACAGACCACACAAGGAATTATTTTAGCCTATTATCCATCTTAGTAATTGGATAATGCTTTTACCCTTAGTGCAGATGTAATCTATATTCTTATAAATCTATCTTCTATAACCTTCTTATAAAGAAGAAGCTTTTTGTAGTCTCAGAGTATAGAGGAGGGTCATTTAAACCATTAAATCCCGTTCTCTGCAGAAATCCAAATAAAAGCATCCAATCTTGATCTGTAAAACATCACTGAAAGGAACCCACCAGCTCCCTCCATCGTTGGTTCCAGTAAACTGGTGTTAAGAAGCTTTTTCTGATGTTCAAAAAGATTTGCCTTCCTATAAGTTAAGAAAATTATTCGGTCTTATGTCTTGGGATGATAGAGAAGAAGTCTCTTCTGTACAATATTCTTTCAGGAACTTGAATAATGCTATCATATCTTGCTTTCTACTATATCGCCATTTTTCAAAGCTAGACATAGCCCATTCCTTCACTCCCTCCTCCTTTGGCATGGTCTATCTGTATGTATGTATTTCTACCTGCCAGTCTACTCTACTCTACTCTACTCTACTCTACTCTACTCTACTCTAATCTAATCTAAGAAATAAAAACAGCAAGATAAAACAAAACTCTTCCTACTAGGTGTCAGACCAACCATATTATTGACCTCTGACTCAACCCTATCCTATCCTAGCCCAATACGGGGGAAAGTCCGTATCTTCAATCATTACCTTTTTTCATTGTTATTCCAAATTGTTCCCCAGAAATGCAGCAATTGGGGGACCAGCACAGATATTGAGTGGAAGAATGGCTATCCATGACACGCAAATTATGCTCTTGTAAAAGGAGAAGAATAGGAGCGAACTACTCACCTAAACAGATGCCGCTATCTTTCTGGGTTTGGGAAAAGTCACAGTGGAGTCCTTTGTGGTGATCACGGGGGTCTTGCCACGAGCACAGCTCCCCAAGCTGCCAGGAACACACCCTGCAGCAACCACAGTCATCTAGCAAAAGGCTGTTGCCAAGAGGGCAGAGGGCAGCCTGTGAGGGACACTGGCAAGGATAGGAACATGCCTGAGATGCTCCCTAGACAAGAAAGACAAGAAACTCAGCAGTGCATGGGCAACAGTGAGCTCAAATCTTCTTCTTTTTCCCCCATTAAAATGCCACTCAGACGCTGCCCTAGGAATTCCTGTATGGCACGTGCCATCCAAACAGGGATGGGCAGCTGGGGGTCCGCAGGGGTTCGGGAGACCCACTAGCTAAGATTCTGTGCAGTTCGGAGAACCTCCAAATCCTACTCCTGGCTGCCCCCACCCACCCCACTCCACCCCTCCCAGGAGTCCCCACATGGCCCAATTTGGATGCAGGTAAGTGCATGGCCATGGAGGCTCAGGGAGGGGGTAAAACAGGCCTCCTGAAAGTTCAGGAAGGCTGGAAAAGGGCCCATTTCCGGCTTCCAGAGAGCCTCCGGAGCCCAGAGAGGCCGTTTTCGCCCTCCTGGAGGCTTGAGGAAAACCTTCAGAGCTCAGGAAGGGCAAAAATGCCCCCCCCCCCGCCGTGGTACAGGAGGCTGTCAAGGCCACACTCACCATGGCCACACCCACCCAGCAACCAGGTAGAGAACCCCTTGCTAAAATTTTTGAAGCCCACCCCTGCATCCAAATCATCTGCAGGAGGAAACAACTTTCGGGTCTTCTGGCTACAATAAAAAAGTAGGAGGTAGAAGAGATGGGATCCCTTGATAGCCCCATATAACATCACATTGGAGGGGATTAGTTGAGGAAGGGATTATGGAGTGCAGCACAGGTTTAGAAGCAGCAGCACTGGATTTGTGAGATTCCAAAACTCGAATGATATAAACACACATAGTTTTCTTCCCACATCAAAGCCGAACAACATGGACTAGTTGCAAGAAGACTTCTTAGATTCCTCACTCTCTAAACCAGGGACCAGAGGTGGTAGTCAGCAGGTTCTGACCAGTTCTGAAGAACCGGTAGCGGAAATTTTGAGTAGTTCAGAGAACCGGCAAATCCCACCGCTGACTGGCCCCGCCCCTATCTATTCTCTGCCTCCCATTGAGTCCCAGCGGATTGGTTGGGTCTTCTTTGGTTGCCCTGCACAGGAGAACAGAGCTGGAAAGCAGGTTAGTGGGGTGGGGAGGGAATGGGGATTCCCAGGTGCCACTTGGACATCCTTGGCTCCCAGGGGAAAGAATGTTGTTATGATTATACACCCCACTATCTACACCTCCCCCTTTTCGTTCCCCAAACAATCTGGCAACTCTAACAAGACCCAAAGACCAAGCCCTAATAGATTCAGGCTGCACCAGGTTGCCTAACCACTAAAGTCCTAAAACCGGGGATCAGGGCGAAAAAGCTAGCTCACCCAATCTGGTTTGAACAAGTAGATGGAATCCTGAACAAGTAAATGGAATCGCTGTGTCAGCCCTGTAGACTTTCTTATAGAACAGGGGTCTCCAACCTTGGCCACTTTAAGCCTGGAGGACTTCAACTCCCAGAATTCTTTGCTGGCTGGGGAATTCTGGGAGTTGAAGTCCTCCAGGCTTAAAGTGGCTAAGGTTGGAGACCCCTGTCATAGAATGACTACAGAGCTGACACATCCCTTCTGTTTCCCTTCTATCTTCTCTTCATTCCTTCCCATGAGTTTCATTTTAATGGCCAATTAAAAGCCCGAGCCTGAGCTGAACCCACGGACCGGGCATTGCAGGGACTCCTCCGCGAAGGCAGGGGCCGCTGTGGGCAGCGCCGCCACCGCTCCGGCCTTCTTCCGCCTCTCGCCGAGACGCGCGGGAGGGGGAGGGGGGGGGTCCAGAAAGCTCGCGCCGAGGGAGAAAGCGAGGCGGGGGCCGCGGAAGCGCGGTGAAGCGGCGGCGGCGGCGGGGTTGAGCGGGGCAGGCTTCCCCGTCGCCCGCCCTTCGGCCCGGGCGCCCTGGAGCGGCGAGAGCAGCATGGCCGCCAGCCTGTGGATGGGAGACGTGAGTGGCGGCGGCGGCGGCGGCGGGGCTGAGCCGCGGGTGGGTCGGGGGGGGGGGGGGCGCGGCGCCCTTAGCCGCCCCCCCCTTCGCCCGGCTAGCTGACTGAAGACCCTCCTCGTGCAGAGAGAGTTCGGGCTGAGTTGGTCGCTGCCCGGTCCTCTCCTTGGGGCGGGTGCCGCCGGCGAGGCCCTCGCAGGCCGTCGAGGGGCTGCCTAGGCGGGGAGACCCTCTTGGGGAGGAGGTTGGGTGGGGGGGCTGAAGCTGAGGAGGGGGAGTCCGGAGTCGCGAAGGGCCAGAAGTTCCCCCCACCCACCCAGGGGGGCTGGTTCTTGAGAAAGAATTAGAAGCGCCCCCCCCACCCCGAAATCCGGACGGCGCCCCTCTGCTGGGGCGGGGGGGCGGGGCTTAAAGACACCCCCCAAAATCCTGGTTCTGTGCCCAGGCCAGGAGAGCCAGTCGGATTTTGAGGGTTCCCAGGGGCTGGGTTGCTTTGTCCTGCTTCCTAGTCTTTGATTTTGGGGTTTATTGGGGTGGGGGGATATTGTAAGCCCAGAGTCTTCTGGAAAGGGGGTAACCACAATAACAAAAGGATTCGGACTTACATACCTCTTCGCAAGGCTTTACAAACCTCTCTGAGCAGTTTACAGAGTCGGCGTATAACTAGAAACTTGTAAAGAAGAGACTGGACAGCCACTTGTCCAGAATGGTCGAGAGTCTCCTGCTTGAGCAGGGGGAGGGGGTCGACTAGAAGACCTCCGAGGTCCCTTCCAACTCTTGTTTTTCTATTTCGTTCCGAGAGAGTCAGCGTTGACTTTTGGCGACTGCCCGAGCTAGTCCCTGCTGTTTGCTTGGCAAGGTTTTTCAGAAGTGGTTTGCCATTGTCTCCTTGCTGGGGTGGAGAGAAACGGACTGGCCCAAGGTCACCCAGCTGCTCTGCGTTCATGTCTTCTGGTTTCTAGACTGACACCTTAACTGCTATCTGGCTCTCTGCCATAATAAATTTAAATAGTAATAATAGACCACGGGGGTCCCAGTGCAATTGGCATACTGAGTGCCATTCTACAAAACTCCTGGACAACCCTTAGAAAATCTGCACATTGGCCAATTTCCATCTGTCAATTTCCATCAAATGCATAGAGTGCTATCCTATTCTTGTTTGTAGTCCCCTCCACCTGTGGCTCTCTTAACTTTTGAGTAACACTTTGTGCACCTGAGATGTTCCATTTCAAATAGAGATGCAAAAGGAGAAGGAAGGAAAGGGAAATCAACAAAGGAAGAAGGATTTTAATTCAGTAACGGATGCTAAGTTTTAATTTCAGTAGCGGTTTACAATACTGATGGGTTGGAACAGAGACAGGCTACACGATTCCCTTGCTTTTAGATATTTTTTTAGAAGACAATACATGAAAGGCGGAGAAATTTATCTCTGCTTTGGGTGTTTTAGCTATCATTGAAATGTTTTCCTGTTTAACAAAGTAGAGGACCATGCAGATCTCTGGCATCTTCCATCATTCCACTATATTTGATTTGATTTGCTTGGAGCCAAGTTTTGACAGCATGGAAATTAGAAAACTACTGCAACTTCACTTTCCCTTTCTTCAAAGAGTTAGCAACTTCATTTCAGGAAGCTTGTTCTAATAACAGGTGCATTCCTGGATCACTTTAGACAGCTTCCTGCAGGCGAGAAGAGTCAAGCAGCATCTCTTAGATAGCACTTAATTATATCATTCTTATTGTTGCTGTATTATGTGACTCTTGTCTTATTTTTCTCCTCTCTCTTTCTCTTTCTAGCTGGAGCCCTATATGGATGAGAACTTCATTTCAAGAGCTTTTGCTACTATGGGACAACTAGTCCTGAGTGTGAAGATAATTCGGAATAGATTGACAGGGTATTGAATTGTTTTTTATTTATTGGCTGTTAATGTTCAGAATAGACTGATGGGGTTATTTGGTTGTTGTTTTTTTAATTTATTGGCTGTTTATGTGCATATTCAGAATAGATTATTTGTTTTTCATGTATTGGCTATTGATGTACATATATTTCAGTGGGAAGAAGAGATTATTTTCAACCCATCTATAGATTGTGTGACTGCTTTAATTCATATCTTGTGCTAGTAGACCACAGTTTAACCATGCTTTATTAAACAAGCCACTATGTTGTAATTGCTATGTGATGCATAAACTATGGTGTATTATGGTTCCTACTCCACGTTAGGCTAAGATTAAACAAGCCATGTTGTGACTTTGGGGCATCTTACAAAGCGAGCCCTTAATTAACCCTATCTGGTTTGTCACAGGGACAAGATGCAATGCTTATCCAGAGTCAATCCATTAGATCAGTCGTCCTTCGCTGATCGATCGTAGCTCCCTCTCCTAGTCCTTTCTAAGAATGGGAGCACCCCAAAAACTTTTCTGCCAAAATTGTTAAAGCAATCAAGAGACAGATCGTGAATGATTCATTTTCAAGTGCATGTAATTTCAATCTGGTATCTATATGAATGCCGCCTTAATTTGTCTTGAGAACATCACTCTGTAAACAGGTTGCCACTACTGGAAAAGCTGCCATCCTGGTCGCCATCTCTATGGCCTCTGTTGCAGAACATAATTTGACACGTTGTTTGAGATATGATTGCCAAGTCCTGATCTCTCACTTTGCAGTAAAGCAGAACATAAGAAGAATTATGCTGGATCAGACCAAAGGCCTATCTAGCCCAGCATTCTGTTCCCACAATGGCCAAGGGGATACCTCTGGGAAACTCATAAGCAGGACATGAGAGCAATAGCGCCCTCCTGCTAGTGTTTTCCAGCAACTGGGATTTGAGAGGCGTACTGCCTTGACACCGGAGGTAATATATAGCTATTGTGGCTAGTAAACATTGGTAGCATTATTCTCCACAACATTTTTCACGCATAGGCACAGACACAGGCAATGAATGACCTATTTCTCTCCTTCCAGGATTCCAGCAGGCTATTGCTTTGTAGAATTTGCTGATCTGGCCACAGCAGAGAAATGTTTACATAAAATCAACGGGAAGCCCCTTCCTGGAGCCACGCCTGTAAGTAAAAGAAGATCATCTGAAAAGCCGACCTGAGATCCTAAGCACACATACTTACGAAGAAGCCCCATTTAAGTCATTGGGATTTCTGAATCATCATTGTATCTTTTTCAGCCCAAACACAAACTTCCCCCTCCCCCCAGGTTCTGAGAAAAATAGGGGGAGGACGCGGTATTTGGTATGTTCCCCGCCTTGAGTTATATGTATAAAAATAATGAAAGCAAGATGTAAATATTTTATCCTGCCTTTTATATGTGTTGGTCAACTCAAAGTGGCTTTCATGCCTGAACAGGATTAGAACTCAGAGTCTCTTGATAAGTGGCCCAAAATCATTCATGCCTAAAGTGGAACTCACAGTCTCCTGGTGATTGGCTCAAAGTCACCTAACAGGTTTTTATGCTTAAGACAGGACTAGAATTTGCAGTCTCCTGGTTTCTAGTGTAGCATTTGTGCTGCACAAGATGGTATTATGTAGTTTGGTCCACTAAAATAATTAGAATAGTAAGGGAAGGTGCTTATTCCAATAACACGTTTCAGTCTGTACACTGCTCAAAAAAATAAAGGGAACACAAAAATATGACATCCTAGATCTGAATGAATGAAATATTCTTATTAAATACTTTGTTCATTACATAGTTGAATGTGCTGACAAAATCACATAAAAATTATCAATGGAAATCAAATTTAGCAACCCATGGAGGTCTGGATTTGGAGTTACACTCAAAATTAAAGTGGAAAAAAACACTATAGGCTGATCTAACTTTGATGTAATGTCCTTAAAACAAGTCAAAACGAGGTTCAGTAATGTGTGTGGCCTCCATCTGCTTGTATGACCTCCCTACAACGCCTGGGCATGCTCGTGATGAAGTGGCAGAGGTCTCCTGAGGGATCTCCTCCCACACCTGGAATAAAGCATCCCCCAACTCCTGGACAGTCTGTGGTGCAACCTGGCGTTGGTGGATGGAGCGAGACATGATGTCCCAGATGTGCTCAATTGGATTCAGGTCTGGGGAACAAGCGGGCCAGTCCATAGCATCAATGCCTTCATCTTGCAGGAACTGCTGACACATTCCAGCCACAGGAGGTCTAGCATTGTCATGCATTAGAAGGAACCCAGGGCCAACCACATCAGCATATGGTCTCACAAGGGGTCTGAGGATCTCATCTTGGTACCTAATGGTAGTCAGGCTACCTCTGGCGAGCACATGGAGGGCTGTGCAGCCCCCTAAAGAAATGCCACCCCACACCATTACTGACCCACTGCCAAACCAGTCATGCTGGAGGATGTTGCAGGCAGCAGAACGTTCTCCACGGCGTCTCCAGACCCTGTCACGTCTGTCACATGTGCTCAGTGTGAACCTGCTTTCATCTGTGAAGAGCACAGGGCACCAGTGGCAAATTTGCCAATCTTGGTGTTCTCTGGTGAATGTCAAATGCCCTGCACGGTGTTGGGCTGTAAGCACAACTCCCACCTGTGGATGTCGGGCCCTCATATCACCCTCATGGAGTCTGTTTCTGACCGTTTGAGCAGCCACATGCACATTTATGGCCTGCTGGAGATCATTTTGCAGGGCTCTGGCAGTGCTCCTCCTGTCCCTCCTTGCACAAAGGCGGAGGTAGCGGTCCTGATGCTGGGTTGTTGCCCTCCTACGGCCTCCTCCACGTCTCCTGATGTACTGGCCTGCCTCCTGGTAGCGCCTCCATGCTCTGGACACTATGCTGACAGACACAGCAAACCTCCTTGCCACAGCTCACATTGATGTGCCATCCTGGATGAGCTGCACTATCTGAGCCACTTGTGTGGGTTGTAGACTCTGTCTCATGCTACCACTAGAGTGAAAGCACCGCCAGCATTCAAAAGTGACCAAACTATCAGCCAGAAAGCATAGGAACTGAGAAGTGGTCTGTGGTCACCACCT